TCAGGAGGCTGAGGCAGGAGAATCGCTTCAACCCAGGAGGCGGAGGTTGCAGTGAGCCAAGATTACGCCATTGCACTCCAGCCTGGACGACAGTGCAAGACTCTGTCTCGAAAAAATAAAAAAATAAAAAATAAGAGGAATAAATGAATGATAAATAAAACAGTACAGAAAGGTTATAAAGTCAGTAGTAAGTCTCTGCCCTCACCACCCCATTCACTTGCCCCTCAGCACCCCACCCCACAAAAAACAAAACAAAACAAAAAAACAAAAAAACCCCCACTCTCTAGAGGTAAATACTATGAACCATTTTGAATCTGTACAGGGTACCAACAGGAGCCTGTGTGATGTGTACTCTCAAGCTTCTGGGTAAAGCTTGCTCTGGGTCTCTCCTGGGGCTGAACCTTTTCCAGGAAGGGAGAAGGGACTGCAGCTGTGGTGTGGCAGGGGCAGGCACAGAACCCTTCCAGAGAGAGGTTTCTCAGGGTCCCGGGAACGTGATCAGCAGCCCCACTTCAGTCAGGCGTCACCGGCTCGCCCGCCGGCCCTGGCCAGGGTTTTCTCCTCTGTGTCTGAGGGCTCTTTTTTACCTTCTCAGGATCCCTCTGTGACCCAGCTGACGAACGCCCCGCAGGGCGGCCTGGCGGAATTCAACCCCTTCTCAGAGGTTGGTGAGCAGGCCCTCTTTCCAAGTCCCGTGACCCTCTGGGGTGGTGCTGGGGTCTCCAGGGCAGGGAGTCTTGGCAAGGACAGAAGCAGCTCTGAGAAGCGGCAATCCTCAAAGGGACAGTCCTAACATGAACCCGGGAAACAGGGTAAGGATGGGAAAGCCACCAAACGCTCTGTGAAATTCTCCCCTTGAGATCTGTGACCAGGGCCCCTCCCCAAGGAGGTCAGGGCAGTGCCCAAGAGTGCTGGACCCAGCGAGCCCAGGGGTGCTGGGTTAGGGATCAGATGGCCTGAACCTGAGGCTTGTTGGCTGGGAAGCCACAGGGGAAGGCCCAGTGCAGGCCCCAAGGGAGTCCCCTCACAGTCAGGGGCACATCACCCATCCTGCTGTGGGTTTGCCCCCTCGTCACCAACTAGTGGAGTCCCACTCACTTCTGTCCTTTGATTTGTTCCATGTAGACAAATGCAGCGACAACAGTTCCTGTCACACAACTCCCTGGGTCCTCGCAGCCAGCGGTTCTCCAGCCATCAGTGGAACCAACCCAGCCGACCCCCCAGGTACTGCTGACAAAGAACTCTGGTCTTTTCTCTCCAGTGAGGGAATCACCCAGACCAGTACTGGCTGAGCCCTGAGGCTCGGGGCAAGCAGAGAGCCTTCAGCCTTGGCCCCCTAAGGACCCTTTTGCTAATTTGTTTGGAGCTGGTCACCTACAAGTCGAGGGGCTGCTCTGCCAATTAATATCCTTACTCCCTGCATCCCATCCACCACCACCACTGAGAAATAAGCTCTACTCACCAGGCTGGGCTCCTTGGTGCCTCCAGAGAGGGCATTTGTCCCTGTTGTACCCCTCCAGGTCCTCCTCAGGCCTTTGACTTGTTCTCTCTTCCTTGGGGCCCAGAATCTCTCTTTTTTTTTTCTTTAACTTCATTGATTCTCACCTTCCTTCCTGTCTTCCTTTGTCCCTTCACCAAATACTGTGAATCTTTTCTGCTTTGTGCCTGGTGCTCCACTGCACTGCCTCACTGCCCTCCCGCCGCGCTCCTCGCTGACCCTATGAGCGTGACCCACGGTGGAGTTGTGCATTGCAGCTCCTGCTTAGACAGGCCGGCAAGTTCCCGCCTGCCCAATTCCTGGCAGCGAGCGAGCTCTCAGAGAGGCAGATGCTCCTAGGAGGAGAAAGTATTCTCAGAGACAGCTACATGCGAAAGCTTCCCAAGGTAGGCCTAGTGTAGATGAGCAGGAAGAAGGGCAGGGCACCTGGAGCCTGCCCAGCGCTCCTCCCAGGCCCCAGAGCCCTGTGGAGGTGAGGCAGCCCTTACAAGCGGAGAGGTGCCTTTCTGTGCAGCTGGGTGGTGGGCTGTAGGGAGCTGGGTCCTTCTCAACTGACGTCACAGACTTGGAGGAGGTCAAGACCCCCAGCGTGGCACAGCGGGGTCACTTCTGCTCCTGCTTCTGCCACCAGTGCCTGAAACTTCCCTCCCCAAGGCAGTCTTAGGTCTTTGAAGAGTTTTTGGAGAGGTTGGTGTGTGTACACATGTGCCTGGTTTGTCATCCTGTGAGATGACCAGTTTGAGATCTCTCCCTAAAAAGGACTGGAGTCTCATCTATCAGGAGGAACCTGGCCCAAATGGCAGCAGCTGCCAGCAGGTGCAGGGCCCCGGGGCCAGGTCTGTTCAGCCTCATGTACAGTCAGTCCCTTACACTGTCACTCAGAGGCTCTGCCCTGCCTGGAGAGGAGATAAGCGTGGACTCTGCACACCACTAAAGCCAGGCAGGGCAGGGCCACACCTAAGGGGCTGTCCTGGGGTGTAGCCAGTCGCAGTTTAGGGGGACCTCAGGAGGCAGCTTCTGGGGGCAGGCCAGGGGGCAGGGTGCTTGTACAGATCCTGAGGCTCAGGCACACGCCATCTACCCTCACATGTCTCCCCTTTCCACTCACTGCTAGCAGGCTTGCACTGTGTTCCTTCTCACACATTCACCCAGGCTCTTCAAATGAGGCTTGGGTCTGTGGGTTTCTTGTTATAGTTTAGTTTCTTGTGAGGTCTTTTTCCCAAAGGTCACAATCACTGAGCTCTGCCTTGACCCAGTATGAGGAAGAGGTGGAGAAGCCACTGGGGATAGTTTTCCCAACTCAAGCTTAGGGATGAGGGCAGAGGAGAACCTAGTCATGGCCAAGGGACCAGGAAGGTGCGGGGGCAGTGGAAGACAGGTTGGCTTCTCTAAGGTGGTCTCTGGTACCTAAGACACTCTGGGAGGTGGGGACTGCTTCTGGGACTCCTTGCTGGCTGTCCCTGCCTGGGGCAACGCCTCTCTGCCTGCCCACCCAGGCTGACACTGCTTCTGTTTGTTGTGTCTGGCTGTCCCTGTACCTCCCCTGTTCTCTCCAGGCTGCGGTGTCTGCAGCCCAGGCAGGCCTGCTTCGGCAGCAGGAAGAACTGGACAGGAAAGCTGCTGAGCTGGAACGCAAGGAGCGGGAGCTGCAGAACACTGTAGCCAACTTGCATGGTAAGGGAGGCTGCTGGGGCCTGGGGCTGCCCTGCCTGGCATAGATGAGTATCCTGAACCCTGTGTGGAGGGCCTCCCAGCGTTCACCCTGAGCTGCTTCAGAGTTTTGTGGGGCTCTTCTCGTCACAGGACGCTGGTCCTCGGAAGAGCAGTACGTTGCAAGTCAGGAGACCTGTAGTGTGGTTGTAATGGCTGTAGATTACTTCTGCACTCCTTCCTAGCTCTAAAATGACTTGATTCTTTGATAGCATAGGGGCATTGGTCCCACAATTCCTTGCTAATGGTGATGAACTGAGTTATCACACTTGTGGGCTGCTTGTTAATAAAAATAATCACTTAGGCCGTTTAGCTCTCTGTATTTCCCAGTGCATTTGGGATCTATTATCTCAGTGTGAGCTTGGTGGTATCTCTTTGGGTTCCATTCCTGTTCCGTCCCACTCCATGCTCCATGCAGACTCCAAGCCCTGCTTGCTGGAGCCCCTCTGGGAACCCTGGTTTGGCCCATACACTGTGCTGGCGTGCACGCACCTCGATGCCCCTTCTGAGGCTGGGCCCTCACCTCGTCACTCCTTTTCCCCCACACAGTGAGAGAGAACTGGCCCCCCCTGCCCTCGTGGTGCCCTGTGAAGCCCTGCTTCTATCAGGATTTCTCCACAGAGATCCCTGCCGACTACCAGCGGATATGCAAGATGCTCTACTATCTGTGGATGTGTGAGTCCCGCTCCTGCCCTCCAAGCTTAAGGGCGAATTGGGTGTGACTTCAGAGCCCCATCTTGGCCCTGGCTGCTCCTCCCTGGTATACAGGCTTTTAGCAGACTCCAGCCCTCCTCAGTGCCTGGGCTGGGTTGGGGAGGTGCCTCTGCCCACAGGCTGCCCCCTGTCTGGAAACCTCCTTGAAAGGGGCAGTCCAGACCACAAATCACGGAGGGTGGGACTAACTAGAGGCTTCCAAGTTCCTTCAGAGCTCACTGCACTAAAAGGCCCTCCTTAGGTGAAGGCCTTCCCTGTCCACAGGCCTGTGGATTCTGAAGGGTGAGGAGGAAGACTTCTCCTGCAGCTCCATCGGGGGCCATCCAGGGCCAGGGAAAAGCATTGCTAAAGGAAAGACTTCCTTCCCCAAGGACCAGCCCTGGGTCTGCATCTTCCCTCCACACCCCTCAGACACCTGGGCTGTCCCATCACCTCTCAGGAATGTAGTTTGATCCCTGGTTTTGAGGTCCCATAAAACCAGGATTTTGGAGCTATCCCTGCCTAGGTACAGAGTGGGCTCCTCTGTCTCTGCAGCTGCCTTCGCAGCATGAACCTCACCTCTCCTAGGGAGTGGCCGCCACATTGGAGCCCCTCAGCCACCGTGGCGCAAGTCATAACTCTGTCCTGTCCCCTCCCCAGTGCATTCAGTGACTCTGTTTCTGAACCTGCTTGCCTGCCTGGCCTCGTTCTCGGGTGACAGCTCCAAGGGAGTGGACTTTGGCCTCTCCATCCTGTGGTTTCTGATCTTCACTCCCTGTGCCTTCCTTTGTTGGTACCGACCCATCTATAAGGCCTTTAGGTGAGTGAGGCCGGGGCAAGGGGTGAGATTTTATGGCTGGCACCCCAGGTAGCAGGCTAAGGGCTATAGGCCCTGGGACCCCATCCAAGTCTTAGAGCAGAACAGAATGTAGGGAAATCCATTTTCCCTACATTCTGTTCCTCTGTTCCCACCCAGAGCAGAGACTGGGGGCCCTGTTCTTCAGTTTCTGTACCTGAGGTCTACTCTGGGCCCTGTCCTTGGACCAGGCACAGGAGACTTAGAGAAGGGACCTGCCATCCCACTGCTCCCAGTCTAGCTGATGCCGTTACTGGGAAGAGGGAGGGGACGCTCTTTGGGAACTCCCTTCTGAGGCTCTAGGGTGTGCTTCTCTGGTAGTGTCAGATGAGTGCTCTCCAGCGCTCTTCTCCATGACTATTGATGCTTCCCAATAACTCAGAGTGCCAACACCTAAGCTAGATACTGGGAACATAGCTGGATACACCTTACAGACCCCCAGGGGTTCTGGAATTGTGCCTCAGGGTTGATGCTTTCAGGGCTGGGAGGCCAGCAGGCCCTGGCAAGAGGGGATAGGGCAGTGGCTGAACCATCCCTGTACCATTGGAGACCCTGAACCCTCATTGTTCTAGCCCTCAAGGACACAGAGATGGAAGTCCTCAGCTCTTGAGAGAGTTTTGTCTGGTGTCCCCTATTCCCCAAATATTTTTTTCTTCCACTCAGATGTACAGGTTTTGTTTTGTTTTGTTTTGATTGTTCTTTGTTACTACGTATCCTTAAGTTCTATTGTTTTTGTTTTTTTGTTTTGAGAGGGAGTCTCACTCTGTCACCCAGGCTGGAGTGCAATGATGCGATCTTGGCTCACTGCAACCTCCCCCTCCTGGGTTCAAGTGATTCTCCTGCCTCAGCCTCTGGAGTAGCTGGGCTTACAGGCACACACAACCACACCTGGCTAATTTTTGTATTTTTAGTAGCGATGGGGTGTCACCATGTTGACCAGGCTGGTCTTGAACTCATGACCTCAAGTGATCCACCTGTCTTGGCCTCCCAAAGTGCTGGGATTATAGGCGTGAACCACCGTGCCCGGCCTGTTTTGTTTTTTTGAGACAGAATCTCTCTCTGTCATCCAGGCTGGAGTGCAATGGCACAGTCTCAGCCCACTGCAACCTCCACCTCCCAGGTTCGAGTCTCCTGTCTCAGCCTCCCAAGTAGCTGGGATTACAGGCACACACCACCATGCCCAGCTAATTTTTGTGTTTTTAGTAGAGACAGGGTTTTGCCATGTTGGCCAGGCTGGTCTCAAATTCTTGGCCTCATGCAGTTTTATTATTAGAGATTTATGCCTTTGGCTTAGTTTTTCTTGCCTGTTATGAAACGCAAGTACTCCAGAAGATGGAGTGTTAGGCTCTTTATTTTTTAATTTACTTATTTTTCTGAGACAGTGTCTTACTGTGTTGCCCAGGCTGGAGTGCAGTAGCACGATCTTGGCTCACTGCAGGAGCGTTAGGCTCTTTATATTGTCCTTTGGGGGAGCAACTTTATCAGCTCTTTGAGGAAGGGGTCAAGCACTGACCCCTTAAATTGGAAGGCAGTGAAAGGCAAGCTCTTCTTGATTATGGTGGGGTATGTGTGTGTGTGTGTGTCCCTGTGGATGGTGTGGCTGGGCCCCTGGAGCTCTGTCTCTTGCCCATGCTGCCTCCTGGCTCCTAGAGAAAAGAGATGTCACACCAAGTAAGGATGCTGAGGAACATAGCCCAAGCCCTCTTGTGACTTCTCATTTCTCTCTCTCTCCACAGGTCCGACAACTCTTTCAGTTTCTTTGTGTTCTTCTTTGTATTTTTTTGTCAAATAGGGATCTACATCATCCAATTGGTTGGCATCCCTGGCCTGGGGGACAGGTGAGACCTGGGCATCACAGAGGGAATTAGGCTTTGGATAGGGGACTCAGCCTCTCTTGCCCTGTTTTCTAGCTCCCAGAGAGCCCCGCCAGTGCCCTGCTTTTCCCGTGGCGGGGAGCGGGTGAGTGGGCCAGCTCAGATCTGCTTTGGGCCTTCTTTCCAGTTCTTTATCAGTAGCCACTCACTTTTTTTTTCTCCTTGATACTAAAGGCATCAAAAGACACACATTATCGGTCGGGCGCAGTGGCTCATGCCTGGAAACCAACCACGTAACATTGGAGACCCTGAACCCTCATTGTTCTAGCCCTCAAGGACACAGAGATGGAAGTCCTCAGCTCTTGAGAGAGTTTTGTCTGGTGTCCCCTATTCCCCAAATATTTTTTTCTTCCACTCAGATGTACAGGTTTTGTTTTGTTTTGTTTTGATTGTTCTTTGTTACTACGTATCCTTAAGTTCTATTGTTTTTGTTTTTTTGTTTTGAGAGGGAGTCTCACTCTGTCACCCAGGCTGGAGTGCAATGATGCGATCTTGGCTCACTGCAACCTCCCCCTCCTGGGTTCAAGTGATTCTCCTGCCTCAGCCTCTGGAGTAGCTGGGCTTACAGGCACACACAACCACACCTGGCTAATTTTTGTATTTTTAGTAGCGATGGGGTTTCACCATGTTGACCAGGCTGGTCTTGAACTCATGACCTCAAGTGATCCACCTGTCTTGGCCTCCCAAAGTGCTGGGATTATAGGCGTGAACCACCGTGCCCGGCCTGTTTTGTTTTTTTGAGACAGAATCTCTCTCTGTCATCCAGGCTGGAGTGCAATGGCACAGTCTCAGCCCACTGCAACCTCCACCTCCCAGGTTCGAGTCTCCTGTCTCAGCCTCCCAAGTAGCTGGGATTACAGGCACACACCACCATGCCCAGCTAATTTTTGTGTTTTTAGTAGAGACAGGGTTTTGCCATGTTGGCCAGGCTGGTCTCAAATTCTTGGCCTCATGCAGTTTTATTATTAGAGATTTATGCCTTTGGCTTAGTTTTTCTTGCCTGTTATGAAACGCAAGTACTCCAGAAGATGGAGTGTTAGGCTCTTTATTTTTTAATTTACTTATTTTTCTGAGACAGTGTCTTACTGTGTTGCCCAGGCTGGAGTGCAGTAGCACGATCTTGGCTCACTGCAGGAGCGTTAGGCTCTTTATATTGTCCTTTGGGGGAGCAACTTTATCAGCTCTTTGAGGAAGGGGTCAAGCACTGACCCCTTAAATTGGAAGGCAGTGAAAGGCAAGCTCTTCTTGATTATGGTGGGGTATGTGTGTGTGTGTGTGTCCCTGTGGATGGTGTGGCTGGGCCCCTGGAGCTCTGTCTCTTGCCCATGCTGCCTCCTGGCTCCTAGAGAAAAGAGATGTCACACCAAGTAAGGATGCTGAGGAACATAGCCCAAGCCCTCTTGTGACTTCTCATTTCTCTCTCTCTCCACAGGTCCGACAACTCTTTCAGTTTCTTTGTGTTCTTCTTTGTATTTTTTTGTCAAATAGGGATCTACATCATCCAATTGGTTGGCATCCCTGGCCTGGGGGACAGGTGAGACCTGGGCATCACAGAGGGAATTAGGCTTTGGATAGGGGACTCAGCCTCTCTTGCCCTGTTTTCTAGCTCCCAGAGAGCCCCGCCAGTGCCCTGCTTTTCCCGTGGCGGGGAGCGGGTGAGTGGGCCAGCTCAGATCTGCTTTGGGCCTTCTTTCCAGTTCTTTATCAGTAGCCACTCACTTTTTTTTTCTCCTTGATACTAAAGGCATCAAAAGACACACATTATCGGTCGGGCGCAGTGGCTCATGCCTGGAATCCTAGTACTTCAGGAGGCCAAGGCAGGCAGATTGTTCAAGCCCAGGAATTCGAGACCAGACTAGGAAACACAGGGAGACCTTGTCTCTACCAAAAATAAAAAAAAATTAGCCTGGTGCAGTGGCATGCACCTATATAGTCCCAGCTACTTGGGAGGCCCAAGCAGGAGGATCGCTTGAGCCCAGGAGGTTGAGGCTGCAGTGAGCCATGATTGCACCACTGGACACCAGCCTGGGTGACAGAATGAGATCCTGTATCAAAAAAAAAAAAAAAGACACTATCTTTCCCTGCTCTGCACTTTCTAGGGTGTTGTGGGTGAACTTGGTTTGACTCTTTAGGCTACCATGACAGTGTCTTGCACTGGATTGCAGCCTCTTCCTTTTCTCCTGCCACACCCTCCTGGAAGCTGATGGATGCCCAGGCCTTTGCAGACTGGGCTGCGACTTTTTTCAGATGCCTTGTAACTTAAGGAGACAGGTCCCTCACCTCCCCTGGACAGGCTTCTTCTGGCTGCCCTCTTTGAGCATACAGCTGGTTTGAGTTTCCAGGATACCTCAGTCCTCAGCTCAAAATTAATCTCAAAAGAAAAGCTGATGGCTGATGTTTTCCTTTCTGCTCCAGTGCACAGGGAGCATTGCAGAAAGGTCAGACTGGCACTTGGCTGACAGCCTGAGCCTGGAAGGGCGGTGCTATTTTGGTCCCCTCCCTCCGGCAGAGCTGGCAAGTCCAGAGCAGTGGGGAGAGAAGGGCTGCCTCCCCTTACCCTCCAAGCAAGTGCACGCTGCCCTCCCACCACCCCTCATGCTTCTTGCCCTGCTGTTGTTAATCTGGTCCCTTTTGACCAGTGACCCAATTTCATTACTCATTACCTAAGACAGACCCTGGTAGAAAAACTGTGATTCATGACGGCCGTTTGCACCTGGACTGGGAATCAGAAGGCTTGAGTTGGCTGGGTGCGGTGGCTCACGCCTGTAATCCCAGCACTTTGGGAGGCCGAGGCAGGTGGATCACTTGAGGTCAGGAGTTCGAGACCAGCCTGGC